TCAATCTGAAACTGTTCCAATGTTTGCCAGTAGTGTCTTTGGTCCCATTTTTTATTAGACCGAGTAACGGTGTTATTTATTAGTAGAAGAGTCTAACCTAAACAGATCGGATACATGAATATCTTCCTCCGACCACTTTAACTTGGTCAATACATGTCGGAAATCTATTCGTGATTAGGGGTGTATATAAATAACACGTTCGGTGAATTGTTCGTAAACAATTCATATAACATTTGTTTATGTTCGTTTGTTAAGCTAAATAAACAAATATGAACAAAATTTTTGTGTTCATTTAATAAACGAACGGACAAAATATTTGTGTGTTTGGTTCGTTTACATTCACGAACAAGCTCGTTTATAGACTCATTCATTTATTGTAAAACCCTCATACCGATGCGGGTGACTCAATCCGGTCAGAGGTGTCACATTATGGCCACTGGAGCGACCTACAATAAAAATCCAAGAAAATTTAAAATTTTTGTCGATCCATTTAAAACTGTAAAATAATTTATGGATAAAATACAAGTTCATACTCAATATAAAAAAAATCAAATGTGACATACATGCCCCTTAATTACACTTGTATCATACTATGCCAACACAACCAAAGGAACTCCCATTACAGAGGTTGATAGCTGAACTGGATCAATTCTTTTAACCTGAAACGACGAATAAAATAGTGAGCTTTTGGTAGCTCAGTAATACAGAACTACCAAATGATGTTAAAGGATATGCAGATAAATGGAAAAGCATAAAGTTTCCTTATTGATTCAGACGCCTACATGTTTTCGGGATGAACTGAGGTTCCACTGATATTTCTTCGAGTAAAAGACATGAAGATTTCTGTTCAGAGGAAACATTAAGAGGACCAAGTTCAGGATATCAGAATAGGATGTCTAGTGTGTTTCAACCAAAACTAGTGAAAAGGTACAAATTTTTTTTAAAATTTAAAACATATTTTTAAGACCACAGTAAAACGCTCCAACAGAACACCAATATGCAGTTCCCTAGAACTGCATCCATAAAGACTTACCCTAGGCCCATTGTGCAAAGGTGCCAACTTAAGGGAGCACATTGGGTCTATAAGGTCTTACCCTAACCGAAGCATAGGTGCCCACCTGAAGGGGTGCCCTCAAACCCATAAGGACTTACCCAATGCGCACAGTAGATGAGCCACCCTAAGGGAATGTCTTAGGATTCATAAGGTCTTATCACTAGGCCATTGGGCCCAGGAGCCCAACCAAGGGTTGTCTTAGGTCCATAAGGAATTACCAACTCGATCGGTCTGAACCTATATAAGAAATTAACGGTTTGATCGAAGATGAACCTGCAATAAGAAATTACCAACTGATCGGTGTTGAACCTATATAAGGAATTACCAGCCTGATCAGGACTGAACCTGTAGAGACTTCATATCAGATCCCGGAGTACCCCGAAGAAAAACATTTTTCAGATAGTAACCAATGGTAGAAGAAAATCAGATTTCAGACATATCAATTCAGTAGAAACGATATCCAGTGATCATGAATCAGACATGCATGTTTAAAACTTCAGTAATTCAGAAATCTCAGTAAAACACATTTCAAAACAAATAAAATAATTATATAACACATTAGAAGATCCAGTTATTTTTCTAAGGTACTTGGTAATTATCAAGCGAGGTAAATATGAAACTTCTTCAACTGATCGAACTTGAGGAATGAGATCCCTTTTTTAAAAAAGTTGGATTACTAACAGACTGATCAGTAATTAGGATAGGGATATATTAGTATCGTATAATATTCAAATATAACCCTAAGATGTGTCAAAAACTGCTACATCAGATTTATTTAAAATTCGGATATTCCCGTGGTGATTCCGTAAATCATACACACGTAAGGACGTTATAGTCATTTAAATTCCTGAGAAATTTTCGTAATTCATTTTAATAAAGGCAAATAGTGATTCACAATATTTCATATTTCAAGTGTCTTATCCAGCTTCCAAATCCAGTCGAATTGATCAAATCCCAATAATGTTGTACTTACCGAGTTTGCGGGTAGAGTATTTTCATGAATATTCATTTCTTAGTACTAATTGTGCCATAGAGTTTAGTTGAGCTGAGCTGAGCATTTTCAGAATTATCGTCGAACGAACATCGAGGAGATGAACATGTATTCAGTTATTCCATGACTTGGGGATATTCTTAGGTCATTTACCCTCCAAGAGCATTTTGGTCATTTTTCAATCATTTTCTTTGATTCAAATGTATGAATCATTCTAGTAATTTATTTATCACGTGGTTTTATCCAAAAAACCAAAAATTCTAAACCTTTTGCCATCTTGGAGGATAAAAATCGGTTATCTAGGATTTTTTAAGTAAAACTAGCATTTCCCGTGTACATCAATAGTTTCATCGAATCAATATGTCTTTTCAGAGTTATTTTTCCACTTCTATGTACAATTCTTAACTTTTTACAACATAAAGATATTTTCGTAATTTACCCCCATAAGGGTATTTATGAAATTTTACCTAACAAAAATATTTTCATAATTTCTCATCTAAGTATCTTTAGCATTTGACCTTTAAAGAGATAAATCAGAATTTACAGATCCTGAGGTTGATTGTTTTACCACATAATCACAGAACTTGTAATTTAATTCCTATTTGTCTCCCAATTTCTTATACGAGTCATCTGAGTCATATTCAGTTACTGAATTTTTACCGCATTAGATCGAGTTTAGAAATAATTAACTATACAGATGAGACCAAACATATTCATCCATGCATTTACTAATATCAACATGTTCCATAAAACATGCATAAGGTAGTAATGTATTACCTCAGTTTTTGTGCTCCACTGATCGAACATTTAAACTTCATTCGATCACTCTAGAACTTGAATCCAACGTACAATAATATCTCAGATACATATAAACAGAAATTACATCAGTAACAGGGCTAAATTGCAGAAAATGGATCGAATCGGAAGGTAAAATGCTGAGAAACAGCTTACCGGGTTTGAATTTGGGAAAACGAACTTCGAATTCAGACTCAAGACGTTGAAAAACATAAAATATGACTTTTCATAATTTTTGACTTTTTGAGTCAAAGTCAACAGTCAAAGTCAATGAGTCAGGTCAAAGTCAACATGTCAGGTCAAAGTTAACAGGTCAGGTTGGGTTGACTCAGTTCAGGTCAAACAGACCGAATTGGCCGATTTGGGTCGGTCCAGACCTACTGGACATGTTCTAGAAGAAACTACAGCTGGGGACGAGCCCCACGTGCACCCGACGACGCATAGCGGCACGTGAAATGAAGAAAAGGGGCAGGTTGGTCGATCGATTACTCCAGTGCATCTATACATAACTACCAAGCTAAAATTAAACCCAATAATTAACCAAAACCGTGACAATTTACCAAAAATTAAAACCGAGCTTACCAACGCCGACGATCGGCAAAAACGACGACGATGGACGATAATCCGGTCGGGTTTTGAGCGCACGATGAAGAGGAAACTAAAGGCATAGGCGGTGAGGCGAGCTGACATTTGAGGTGGTCATAATTGATGAAAAATCGATACGCGACAGGGGTTTTTGGTGGTGCTTCTTCAACTCTTCCACTGTGATTGGCGGCCAATTAGAGTCGGTGATTGGCTGGGGCAGTTTCGCGGTGGTCTGACGCTTCGATTGGAGGCGGTCGGCGACACCTCAGACGACCGGAGCCAGCTGGATTTCCTGAATGGAGGCGGCTACTAGGGTTGAGGTAGGGAATTTGGGGATAATTTTGGAAAGAGTGTTTTGTTAGGAGAATGAGCAAAACGGAAGTTGCTTTAGTAATGTGAGTTTTAGATCGAATGATGAATAAAAATAGTATATATTTATATTCTTTATTAATACTTGACAATGTATAGAAATATGCTCAAACACTTTTACAATCTCTAGTATTTGCATATAAAACTTCTAATGATAAAAATCATTCTTTAACCATCATGCAAAAAATATCTTTGTTTATTCGTTTAAATTTAATTTATAAATACTATTGAAATAAACAATTGAATACAAACGCTTACGATGTAGAAGTTTACACGGTGGTATGCATCGGCACACCCTCCTTACAAAAGAAGCATATATGTCACATCAGTCTAATGACATTTAATATTCAATAATAATAAATTAAGATATACTTTCATATATATAATATTTTATTCATAACAATTTAAAATATGATTTAAATTATTGAATTTTATATCAATTATATTTTCATTTTATCATATTTAAAAAAGACTTAATTAGTAAACAATTATTTTTGGCATAATAGGTATAAACATGGGGAGCTGATGTATCCAATTAGTCATCTTGAAATACGTGGAGTCAAATATGATGGGAAGTTGACAAAATTTGATGACTGGACTCCGCCATATTTGACTACGTTTAGCTTACTTCAATTAATTCTTGGTTTAATTATTACTTTGATCCTTCTACAATACTTAAATTGAGGATTTAGTTCATATTTTAATTTACCATAATTTGATATTTATTTTATAATATTATTGTTGATTGAGTCTTATATTAATTCGCATCTAAGAAGTTTTAGATTCATAATTAAGCACGTAATATCATCTGTAGGTTTTGATGCTTAAATAATCTAAATATATGTTGTCATAGTTTTTTTTCACGTTTATGTGTTTTTAAGAAAAAAATACATGTCGGTACTTTAACAAGAATAATTAAAGATATTAATTATTTAAAGAAAATAATGACGTTATAAAATTATAAAAACCAAATTAAGATATAGGGACTAAATCCCAAATGTAAGTATAGCATAAGGAGCAAAACCAAATTTGACCCTACTTGCATATTAAATAAGGAATAGATATCCCGTTTTGTACAATGACTGTTTCTCTCTTGAAATTTCAAGTGGTTGAGACACGGCTTGTTTAAAAATTCAATATATATATTCTTAAAAGCATAGCCTTGTCTACTTAAAAGGATTACAGCTTTCCAGTTATCCAGAAAAGACCTGAATATTCATCCTGCAGAAGAATTAAGAAATGAGAAACACAGTCTCAATCGCTTTGACATTTTTGGCTCTTTTAATCATCCATGTCCAAGCAAGGACCGATCCTCGACAATGCACCACTTCATGCGGAGATATCCACAACATCGGATACCCTTTTCGCCTCAGAGGCGATCCATCCCACTGCGGCGACCCCGACTACGAGCTTTATTGTGACGCCAACAATCGAACCATCCTCAACTTCCATGCCGGACTGTACTACGTCAAGAGAATTTCGTACGCCGACCGCGTTATCCGTCTCGTTGATGTTAACTTAGCCACCGGGAACTGCGGTTTGCCCTACAGATCTCTTGGAATCGAAGAAGTGCTAGGCGATGGTCGGTATAATAGAAAGTATTCTAGCCCCCATGCCTCTTTTGTGAGATGCTCAGTGGAAATCAATAGCATGCGGAACAACATAGTGCCCTGTTTGAGTGGGAATACGTCTCGTGTTTACGTTAATTACACTGATTACATGTTGTACTATCTTGATATTCCCAGAAGTTGCAGCGTCTTTGCCATGGCACTCTCCGGTGGTTCTGATGATCCAAAAGTTAACTTACCGACCAGTTACGATGATATCAGGCGGAAACTGCAGTTGGGGTTTGATCTGACTTGGACAGTTGAGTGTAGGGATTGCCTCGCCGATGGTGGCTATTGCCAGTTCCTCACTGAAGAAAGGAACCGGTTTCGATGTAGCAAGGAAGAAGGTTGGTTTTCTTTTCTCAACTCATTATCAATTCATATATATGAATTAAACCTTAATTTCCAGATCTCGAACATCGTGATCCTAACGATATATGTTACTCAGATTACGCGACTCAACTTCGGAACGCTATCCTGTACCTTGCTGCCGTGTTCGTAATAGGTAAGGTTCCTACATTTTCATGTCAATTTCCAGTTGTTGAACCTTGATCTGATCAAATATTACGTTGTGCCTTGTAGGTATGACAATATTATGCAGATACATCCTGGCTCCCCTTGTCGTTTTTAATTTCATTCTCCATAAATGCTGCTCAAAGCGAAACAGGATCGAGCAATAAACACAAGGTGTATAGTGTTAATATGCAACTATGTGAGCGTTTGTATTAGTTCAATTGCTGTATAATTTTTCCAGTAATTTTGTAATTACGTAAGGATTTGTATTTAAGGGCAGCACATATAGAAAATTACAGTTTACTAATATACTGCTCTGCTTCGTAAATGTACTTGCTGTTTTTTGGTATTGAAATGGTGTCAAACTGTGTCTAAACAGTTAATATATAAGCTATCTTAACTCCTCACTCTCATCATCACTGCTCCTCATATCATCATTACAAACCAACCTTCTTCAATCAAGATTTTTATATCAGAATAAAAATTTTCTAGATAATATAATATGATTATAAAGTGATTACAAAGTAATATATATTCTAAATTTTTACAATTAATCGATAATGAAAAATCAATCATCCTTACGGTGATTCAATGTTTAAACATAGCATTTGGCCAAACCCACAAGCCAATGACATTCGAACACATCACCCAGTCAAACACGTGGTGCACAGCCATTGGCTGATCACTCTGCCTGTGACATCCTAACCCGTATATATTTCTTCTTTTACGCCTGATTTCTCGAGTTCACAGAACTAATCGCCTCCAATACTTGAAAATCAAAAGACCCCAAAGAGATGGATAGATCACGATTGTTGCCTCTAACCGTGCTATGCACTGTGGTCCTTCTAGGGTCTCTAGCTCTTACTCAGGTTCACTTTCTATTCATGTCTCCCCTTGATCTGTGAATAAAATTTGGAAAACCGATGTTTCATTTAAGTTTTTTTTTCTGGGTTTCTTTTGTTTTTATTGACTGATTATTTGATTATTTTAATTTTTCTTTGTTTCACTTAGCTTATTGAGCTTGAGATTGAATGTTTTAATTTGTTTAGAATTAGATGGATGGATATTACGATAATCGGACGCGACTAGTGGATTTCATTATTTGATGGGTTTTTTATTGTAATTTTCAGGCAAAAAAATCTAATGGAGATCTGAAAGAAGTCACTCACAAAGTTTACTTTGATGTTGAAATTGCTGGAAAACCTGCTGGTATACTTCATTTCTCTTATGAATCAATCCCGTTGGATCTGTGAGAAAAGCTTAAATGTTTTCCCTTAACATGCGTCGTGAGTTGCCCAAATGTTTCTTTGAACAATTTGCAGATATGGATAGATTTAAACAGCAAAAAGTGGGTAAAAATGTCATTAATTTAATGTCTTAAAGGTCTTTCTATGCATAAACCTCCAAGTCGAGTAAGGATTTTTGGATTAAGAAGCGATTAAGCCTACTTGTAATGTGTAACTAATTATATTGAGAATAAATGAAGATTTAGCTTGATATTGGAAGAGAACTCTAATATAATTATTCCGAATGGATTTCTGGATAGAAGTTATATATTTTTCTAATCTGCTTAATTTCTTATATGCAGAAAATTTCCGAGCACTCTGCACAGGTGTGAGTTATCTCTTTGATCAACCTTAGTTACAATAAAGATGTAATAGCTGTAAGATTAGTGAAAACCACTTGCAACGATTGTTGTTGGAAAATGAATACGAGAGTGAAGATTGACTAAGCCTATTGTGAAGGGCTCTTTACAAACTTCTGTTTAATGTAAGAGTGGTTCTGAGATTGGGTTTTCCATTACAGGGGAAAAAGGTGTTGGAAAGAGTGGTAAACCTCTCCACTACAAAGGAAGTGCCTTTCACCGCATTATTCCGAACTTCATGCTTCAAGGTGGTGATTTTACACTTGGTGATGGAAGAGGTGGGGAATCAATCTATGGTGAGAAATTTGCTGATGAGAATTTCAAGTTGAAGCACACCGGACCTGGTGAGTCAATATGTCATTATATAAAGTGCTTATACATACAAGAAACAATAGAAATTTATGAAAAGAATCAACCCTTTTTTCTGTCTCTTCTGTACGTGGAAATATAGGGCTTTTGTCAATGGCAAATGCTGGTCCCGACACCAACGGATCTCAATTCTTCATTACAACCGTGACAACCAGCTGGTAATTCACAAATCGACAATTGCAAACAGTTTAAGATGTTTAGACTTTTTAGAGGTTTTCACAGTTGCTAGTAACTATGTGCAGGTTGGATGGAAGACACGTGGTGTTCGGAAAGGTGTTGTCTGGTATGGACGTGGTTTACAAAATCGAGGCGGAAGGAAGGCAGAGTGGCACACCCAAGAGCAAAGTTGTGATTGCTGACAGTGGCGAAATGCCTCTGTAATTATCAACGCTTGAGTCTTTGTTTATTCCATGATAAATCCTGGGAGATGAACTTTTCGTTTAAGATGTTTTCTTGCAAGTTTTGAAAGTAGAGTTTGTTTAGCGGATGAAGATCATATCTTTTAACTTGGCATTATGGTCCACGTTAAAATGTAGAAGCAATTGTTGGTGGAAACAGCCTCTTGAGTTGAGACTCAATGAACTTGCCAAATTGGAAGAAAGCTTTGTCTTTAACTAGAACCGAGTCAGATCATTTGGTTATACGCAATATATATGGTTTGACCTTTGGCCATAACTTGTTCATACTTCAAATATAACGATATTAATGCCAGAATTTCATAATATTGATTTGTTAAACACATTTTCGGTCCACGTTAAAATGTAGAAGCAATTGTTGGTGGAAACAGCCTCTTGAGTTGAGACTCAATGAACTTGCCAAATTGGAAGAAAGCTTTGTCTTTAACTAGAACCGAGTCAGATCATTTGGTTATACGCAATATATATGGTTTGACCTTTGGCCATAACTTGTTCATACTTCAAATATATATAAACGATATTAATGCCAGAATTTCATAATATTGATTTTGTTAAACACATTTTCTAACATGACATTTTAAATAATTGATAATATTAAGTTAGTTAGATCATACAACCACTTGGGAAGCTAGTTTGAATTATTATATTTAATTAAAATTATTAATGTCTACATAATTATTTAATTTCTTAATTGATTGGATTTTATTGTATTATGTTGTGTCCCACAACTCGCGTTATAGTGCAGAGAAATTTTGATAGATTGAGAGGGAAAATTCCTCTTAGATTTTTCATGCCTATACTATTTTACAAGGCATTCCTTTTATTTGCCAAACTTTTAGAACGGTTAGTGCCTTTGGGGCCCTCCTCTCCCTTCTTCCTCTGAACCTCCTCAACCGAATGTTCCAGCTCATCAGCCTCTTCTGTATTAGCTTCAAATAAGGGATCAGCAGTATCCATCGTAACATATTAGTTAATTACTCAATAACTTAGTTTTATCATTATAAGATTATCTTTATTCTCAAAATATAATAAATATTATTATGAGGTTGCTTCAGCAATTTTATTATCACAAATATTCCGCCATTAATTAAATTAAACTGCACCACACAAATATACATAGCATGCAAAGCATTGTTGCTAGTAGTAGTATGCTCTAAGAATGCGCTTTTCATTGGAAGGCTCATAGAGATATCTTCACTCCGACCAACTTATTTGATTCACCACAAAAGGGAAAAATACCGTGTCCTCTACTGCTTAAATTGGTTTATCATAAACAGAACCTAGTAACGCCTTTTGCTGCCTGTTACACGGAGGCCGGATGGCCTCCTCTACGCTCCCCAGTGATCTTGGCACTTCCCATAGACAATTTTGTCGAAGCTAGGGATGCATGGAACTCGTCGTGCCTGGCCGGCTTCATGAAACTCATTGAATCATCTCCGCTCTCAAACCAGCATGTATCGTGCAGCTTCCTTCTTTACACCTCATCCTTGATTCTCTGGAATGTCAAAAGAGGGGTGAGGGAGTTAAGTTGATTAATAACAGACCACTTTATGAAAAAGACATTCACCTGGTTTTATGGAATCACAAGTGCGTGGTTTTCACTCTATTGGTCAACCTTTCAGTTATGTCTTGATCCGAAGTACACAATTTCATAAGTAAAATGATATCACCAAGAAAAATCGTATCGTGTAACCAAAAGAAAATCCTATTTGTACAAGGTAATATTCTTCAAATTACAAACCTATTTGACATTATATAACCATTTCATCCAAGATTAAAGAGAGTAAAAGGACAAACGCCTCTATGCTGAGGGAGCCAAATGCAATATGAATGACAAATTACAAATTCCCAAAGAAGTCATGACAAAAATGCAAAAACAATAGGACGCAGATGTGTTCTGTTTCAAGACTAAGATTTTCCAAAAGAAGCTTCATGTCGGTCAAGAGTAATGTCTTAACATGAATGTCGATTCGTACATAGAGTCTGGGATGGGATAATAAAAGCAACTCAAAGTTTTCATGCTAGACAATGGTGAGGATAGAACAATACTTTTATGAATAATTCTACTAAGACAAACTCACATTAGATTTGAATGTGAACTTATCAAATGGTCTCAGCGGTAAATAAAAATGTTATTATCTCTAAAGATTCTAGATTTGAGCAGTTGTGTCTATAAAGAACGTCGCTTCTTTTGTTCATCGCTTCTTTCGTAGATAGTAATCGCCTCAAAACTATTAAATATAACGAACATCGCTTGGCTATAAACGATACCGTTTCATGTCATCTCCTTAGCTCATCCTTCTTTTTATATGTGCACCATCCAAACTAGAAATTCGAACGTCGCTTCTTTTGTTCGAAAGACGCAGTGGCGGCAAAAACGTAGATACCTAACGCTCTTTATATTTTATTAAACGCTATTCTACAATGCTATCCCTGTGTTTCGCTGTTCCTACCATGGATAATCCCTACCAAGACTAAACCAAATCCCGGTTGGAACCGAATGGACCATCTTTCTTCTCTTCCCAAACGATATGACTATAAACTACAAACAACTACCACTGACCTATCAGATGGGACGACTTCTTTGGTGGATAAAGAGGTAGAGCTGCCGGAGGGGCTAAGCAGGGAGTTGATGCCGAAGCATGTTGCGGTGATAATGAACGGGAACGGGTGATGGGCTCTACAGCGGGGATTGCGGACTTTCGCCGGGCACGAAGCGGGTGTAAAGTCATTGAGGGAGATGGTGTTGAAATTCAAAGTTGCTTTCAGTACATGCACCGGAAAATTGAAAAAAAAAATCCACCGAATGGAAATTGTCAAAAAGTTGGCTTTATTTTGTTGAAAAATTAAATGGGGTAATTACATATTTAGTCTCTAAACTTTAGGTATTTACAAGATTAGTTCTTAAGCTTCAACTATAAATACCCTAACTCATTTAGCTTCAAAACCATCCCAAATCATTTTAGCTTTCTCCCAATACTGGAGAGTTTTTTGAGAGTTGTTTTCTCTTTTTTATTAAGAAAAAATTGTCGTTGTTTTCTCTTTGTTAGATCGAGATAAGTTGTAATTCATATTTTCTCATAATGAAATTCTTCTACATTTGCTCGTGGTTTTTACCCTATATTATTTAGGGGTTTTTCACGTAAAATTTATGTCTTCTTTATCTTCATTTTTATTTTTATCAAATTATCAGTTGCGATTTTGCTCTATCCGATAGCCGTATTTTGCAACAATTAGTATCAGAGCCAGATTAGAGTGTGTAATATCTACTTATTATCTTTGTGGTTTCCACCAAAAGGTGGATCCTTAAACATAAGAAAGTAAGAAGGTATTATCCATTCTTTGAAGGTTCTAGAGAACTATTCACGATAGTGAAATAGTGTGAGCTATCCGTAATAGAAGCTATGTCAACAAAATTTGATATCGAAAAGTTCAATGAGAGAAATTTCTCATTGTGGAAATTGAAGATGAATGTCATCCTGAGGAAAGACGGTTGTCTAGCAGCTATCAGTGAAAGGCCGATAGATTTCACAGATGACAAAAATGGATCGAAATAGACGGGAATGCTATGCAAACTTTCATATATCATTAGCAGATGAGTATTGTCAAGCATCGAGGAGAAGAAGACATCTAAGGAGATATGGGATCATCTCACCAAATTGTACGAGGCCATATCGTTGTACAATAAAATTTTCCTTAAGAGGAAATTATACACTCTTCGTATGCCAAAATCTACTTCAGTGACGGAGCACTTAAACACACGAAACACGTTATTTTCTCAGCTTACATCTTTAAGATGTACAATAGGAGAACAAGAACGTGTTGAACTTCTACTTCAAAGTCTACTTGATTCGTATGATCAACTCATCATCAACTTGACAAATAGTAATGTCACCAGTCTAGTCTTCGATGACGTTGCATCTGCTGTTCTACAAGAAGAAAATTGGCGCAAGAACAAGGAAGAAAGACAAGTAAATCTGCAACAAGCAGAAGCGTTAACAATAATGAGAGGGGGATCAACAAAACGTGGCTAAAGCAGTACTCACAAACATAGTAGATCGAAGTCGAGAAGCAAGAAGAATCTAAAGTGCTACAACTGTAGAAAGAAGGGTCACTTGAAGAAGGATTGTTGGAGTCTATGTAAAAACTCCAATCCACAAGGCAATACCACAAACACTTCAGATGATGGAGATGCTCTATGTTGTGAAACATCAATCACTGTGGAAGGTAGAAAAATATTTGTAGATGTATGGCTCATTGATTCGGGAGCAACATATCACATGACCTCAAGAAGAGAATGATTCTATCATTATATGAACCTGTCTCAGGAGGATCTGTGTATAGTTGCAATGATCATACCTTAGAGATAGTTAGCGTGGGACCATCAAATTGAAGATGCATGATAGAATAATTAAAGTTGTTTGAGATGTGTGGCACGTGAAAGGCCTGAAGAAAATTTTATTATCCTACGGATTGTTGGATAATAATGCAAGCAAGATTGAAACACAGAAAGGAATCATGAAGGTGTTCCGTGAAGCGCTTGTGGTGATGAAAGGCGAAAAGATAGCAGCAAACTTGTACATGCTGAAGGGAGAGACTTTGCTAGAAGCAGAAGCCTTTGTTACCTCATGTAGTTCAGATTCTGTAATGTTATGGCATCAGAAACTTAGACACATGTCAGAACAAGGAATGAATGTCCTTGTGGAGAAAAATCTACTTCCAGGCTTAACAAAGGTATCACTTACTTTGTGTGAGCATTTTATAACAAGTAAGCAGCACCGGTTGAAATTCAACACGTTAAATTCTAGAGGTAAAAGTGTTCTATAATTGGTTCATTCTGACGTATGGCAAGCACCAGTTACATCCCTAGGCGGAGCAAAATACTTTGTCTCATTTATTGATGACTACTCCAGGAGATGTTGGGTGTACCCTATTAAGAAGAAGTCAGACTTGTTTTCAACTTTAAAAAACTTCAAAGCACAGGTGGAACTTGATTTTGGAAATAAGATCAAGTGTTTCAGAACAGATAATGGAGGAGAATACACAAGTGAAGAAGTTGATTACTTTTGCAGAAAAGAATGCATCAAAAGACAGTTCATAGTGGCGAACACTCCTCAACAAAATGGAGTGGCAGAGCGAATAAACAGAACCTTGTTAGAAAGAAAAATAGCAATGTTGAGGGCTGCAGACCTAGAAAAATCATTTTGGGCAGAAGCAATTAATACCGCCTGTTATTTGGTGAATCGAGCTCCTTCA